GGTCTTAAAGGTACACCTTGTTTGTGGATTTTAGGTAAACCATACAGACTAGGTGTGGCCTCCCCTGGGTACAGTCTGTGGTACAGAAAACGGTCAATAGCCTTGTCCTGCTCCAAAATTTTCAGGCAATCTATTAACTTTTCTTGTAACCACTTCCTGGATCTCTTTTCAGAGGTTCATAAGTGTTTAAGTCACTAAGGAGTGTCATAACTTTCTCATGATAGTCTTTCTGGTTCAAAATCACTGTGCACCTTCCTTTGTCTGCTGGGAGAATTCAACTCCCCCAGAAAATTTTGAATAAAGTAGATGCCATTTCCTGCATTCTGGTGTATTTTAACGGATTGTTAAACATCTACGTTTACCTACAGATGTAAACACTTGATTCAATAACTATTTTAGAGACACCTCATGCAACTAGACCATTCATGCATCTTCCTGTTTTTAAATTCACTCCTAAGATAATGAAATTAATGTGAAACACTTTATCACAATGACTTTAGGGGTGCACTTCTCTTTAAATTTGTTGATTTAGTTTTATTTGTAACACAACATGCCATTGTGCAAAGCAATGGTGACACTGAACTGCATGTTTAAAAACAAGATTATTAACTTTACCCAAGGATCAGGTGACATTTTATCAACCACCAACAGTGAATTTAGGAGGGCTTTTACTTTTTCTTATTTAGTGATGGGCTTACTCCTAACAATAAAACAACATGGCATTATGACACAAAAATTACACTGTGCCAAGCAACTATGACACACACACAATTCTTTTTCATCTGTTTTATCAATCTTTTTTCACGTTTGGCACCTTGATTTTGTATTTTTGTTGCATGCTGTGGTATTTCTTGTTTTTTGGCGAGTCGAGGTGCTTCTTCCAATCCTGAGCGTTTCATTGCATTGTTGACCTTGTGTTGATCTACATATGACAAATAAACCTAAACTGCATGTAATTATTAAAACTAAATAATTTACAGGTTCCTTCCAACCTTAGTGCCATAATTTCAACACTTCATAACTTATATCGCTCTTTCCTTCACAATCCACTTGGAAAAACAACCATCTCCTTCTTCCATTGTTTTCTTTTCCATTGTTCCTTCCTCATCACTGATTTTACTCATTTTACTTTCCATGAAACGTGTGTTACTTGGGCTGTTTCTCCCTCTTATCTTGAATATACATAAACACTTTTACAAAAGCATTTTTTTTATTAAAACATAAACAAACATAAATAATATGAAAACAGAGAAGAAAAATCCATCAAATGAAGCTCTTACAGGTATGCTACAATCATGTAAAATGAACATTATAGGCATGCACACACAAAATTGTCCAAATCATGATACATAAATATAGAATTTGAAATGAAGCCCCTGTGTTTGATTAACAAAAAGCATGTTTACTGTTATCTTTAAGTCCTGCAAAATGAATGTCAAAGAGACATAAGATGTAAATGATTTTAACAACTGACTAATCACTTTAACAATGACCAGTCTCATATTTATACAGCTAATAAATAAATATTTAGTGCATATTCCCATTTACCTCACTAAAGAGCCAAATGAAAACTAAGATTTAAGTTAAGGATGAACCAAACTCAGTTTGGTTCCTCTGATAAAAAAGTCTGTTTATGCCTTTAATAATCAGACAGTCCAGCTATCTGCATTGCTAGACCTTTTTCACAGAATTGTTTTTAACTGAAATTGCAGGTCAAACACAGCTGTACCAATGCACTCCACTTACAATAAGTGCTGCTGTTGTACAGGTCACAGGTGCAGAAATATAACGCAGCCGTTGTTAATAAGTCGATTCTTGTCTGACTGTTTCAATTAAAAATGCATGCTGTTAAATAGGTCAATTGTCACAAACAAAACAAACCAATGCCATTTCCTTTCTGGTTTAAATGACACTGAGTTACTTCTTTTGGTGTCCACTTAAGACAGGATTGAGCTTTCAGAACACAAACACGTTTTGTTTAAAACAAAGTCAGGGTCCGAGTGTGACTGTCATAGTACCGTCAGGATTGTAAACTCAATGTCAGATTTTTTCTTTTTTTTTTTTACAAAAAATGTCACCTGGCTACATGTATTGCATTAAAATGTTGAGTCCCTTACTGTGAGGGCATCTCGTTTCCCACCTTTATCACACATGCAAAAAAATTTTAGAAAAACATTTATGCATTTATTGCTGTGAGTCACACAGCCCTGCTGGTCTTGTTATTTTATTCTTGTGAGAACCCCCATACTGTAAGTACAAGCAGATGCTCTTTTAACTACAGTGGTCCGTCGAGACATTTTTTCCAATAACGACCACTGATAAATCCTTCCTCATTGCACTTTCTGCCAACAAATGGCCTCCTTAGTTGTTCTCTTGTGGTTCATAAATCAGTGAATAAACAAGACAGTTTTTGCATCTTCATTATTTAACGTGAACTAAATGTATTCAATTGTTCAACACGAACCAAAAGACCTAAAAGAAAGTCCTTTAAAACGTCAGTGCCATTTTGGATATACTGTTGTTGAGAGCTCCGTGGGCAAGTAAAAAAATATGATTTTTAAAAAGTGGTTACCTTTTTGATTTTTTTTTTCTTGTACCAAGAAGGGGTGTTGGAGAAAGAGCAACATGAAACATAGCAAAACCCACATGTGGAATCAAAAACAGACTCTTTCAACATTACACGTCACTAACAGTGGTTTTCTGGCATTTAAAAATGTTCAGTAGCATGTTTGTTACACACGTTTGCATTTCAGTTCCCAAACTTTACGGCCCCAAAATACGTCCCTTCTGCCTCCTTGTCCAGCATCCAAGCGTTGGACACATTGACGAACAAGGCGTCTCCCTTGTCCAGGTAAACCACTCGGCCCTGCTGGGCGCAGTACATGTTATAGCTCGTGTTGTTCCAGCGCATAGTGCTGCCTGTCTTCATCAGCTGCCCTGCCTTGTTGTTCTGCTTGATGCTCTCGTGATAGACGTACTGGATGAGTTGGGTGTTGCTAACATCAACTGGAGGAATTTCTTCTGGTCCTCCAAGCTTGTAGTAGCGGAAGCAGGTTTTAGCATAAACGTAGTAGAAGCCTGGTACGGTCACTAGCAGTTTTCTTTTCTGGTAACTCATATTGTGAAGAGTTCCATGGACTTCATCCCATTCGATGACGGTGGCCTTCTCAACCTCTGTGTGACAAGAACAAAGAGTTTCAGTTGGTTCACTAATTGGTACATTAGTTGGCTCATGGTTGAATACTTTTTGCTTACATTTTTCTTAAACATTTTCTTAATCCATTAATTTTACATAATTTTGGAACATTATTGACCATGAAATATTAAAAATCCTTAAAAAAATCAACACCATCTAGCATCTATACTCTATAAATGTTCACTTTTTAGAGACTGCTACATTGGCTTGACCAGTCAGCTCTATAACAATTATTCCTGATTGTTAATTAGATTAAAAATCCTACCTGTTTTGATTCTTAGGTTTTATGTATCAGGGCACAATAGAAATGATCTGGTTTTTACCATGGTTTAACATGATTCAAATCAAGCCTCAAGTGTGCAAAGCCACACAACAGATTTCATAATATCATCACTCTAGAATATTTTACTACAAAGAGCAGTTCATGGTAGTGTTAAAATAAGCCACAATACCACAGTGTGCTAAAGTAACACTTAAACAAACTAACAACATACACATTTGTTAGTGTTAGTTGTGTTTTGTGATTTCTGAGGTGTGCCAGAAGTGAGAGATTGTTTCAGGCAGTAGATTTATTTAAAAAGTTAGTGACAGTACAGTAGTAAAAAAAAAAAATAGAATTTTTAAAAAAACTGGACTCACTTTTAGGAAAATCTTGATTCACTTTGATTGGTAGATGGGCGGATGCTTGCATACGATCTTTAGGATTTTTGCATTGTCTTCTCTTTGGGTCTTTCAGTGCATTTACTATGGGCTCCGGATGAACTTCCTGTAAATGAATAATAAAAAAAGCTGATTCAGCAAACATTGACAAGAGGATAAACAACTATTTTTTTTTTCTGTGTGCCAGTGTTTGCATTATGGTAATCAAAGTTGGTAAACTGCACTAACACGTAGCTTCTTTCATAAAAATCCAGACATTTTGAAGTAGGGTTTGGTGGAAAAAAACAAGTTTACAATAAATGTCTTATCCGTTGTTTACTCTTTGAACTGCCAGTTTGGAGAAGAGTTTACTTATGACTAAACAAATGTGGTTATCAGTTGTAGACAATACAGTATGGGGAAAAAATGTCTTTAACCAGGTTAGACCAATGACTAGCCAAACAAATGCTGTATTTTATGTTTTTTTTTTGTTGTTGTTGTTGTTTGATTGATTTGGGCTTAGAAAACAATTATTTCTCAAAAACTGACACACTGGTGTGAAAGAACACTACATGGACTAATCTCTACACTTTCAAATAACACATTCTGTTTTGTTTGTCTCCGTTTCCTCAACCAAACATTGACCATGTTACATCACATGTGCTCGGTGCATATGACCCATATATTTGTTGATGATGCTGATGATGTGAGTGTACTGTCGTGGCTGGATACCACGTCGTGTTCAAAACAGCTGAGACGTCGCCCTCGGTATAAAATATTTATTTGACAAAACATGGGTTACAGATATTCAGAGACAAACAATTACATTATTAAAATATATGCATATATTTTGGAGCATTAAAGAACGAACCGTCTCGGTGTGCGCCTCCCGGAAATGCTCGATGAGCGTGTGTCATTTCCGGCTTTTATAAAAGCTTGGAAAAGCTAGCTCCTCTGATTGGTTTAGCCCCTTCAGTTGCCATGGTTACTGGTTTAGCCCGCCCCCTGAAGGACGTTAGTTGAAAGTTTATGGCACACTGAAATCGTTCGTTTTAGCTGTTTGTTTAACGTGATTATGCCTTAGTGATACCAAATGATTTGAGTTAAAGTTGTTTATTTCTAGGAATAATTAATAACTATTAATTGTTATCTAACTCATGTTTGCGTGTTCTTACTTGATCCTTTTTATACTTTTTAGTTTAGTTGCTGTTGTAGCTTACTGTGACAATTAACCCTGTGTCCTCTCAGCTAAACCGACCCTGTATTCAACAATGATTAAATGTTAATGGTTATTATTAAGAGAGATCCTGAGGGATTTTATTTAGTCAAACTATATTAAGTCTAAATTAAAGAAATGTGTTCTAGCTTTATTTATGTTAATCAGTCTGCTATCTGGCATGATTTGATTGCTTGTAATATATCAAATGTGAACTTGTAAAATTATCCTTAGCTAATATGAGATTATATTTAAAGGTCAACTAGTTAGAATTAGCAAACATTTTCTATAAATATAGTGCAACCCTGGAAGAAAGACACATACACACTTTATATAACATGACATTTGAATGCTTGATAGGAAATATAAAAATATGAAATCCAACAGTACCAATATGCACTGATCAAGCTTCTCAGCACCAATGGTACTTTGTAAATACAATGCCTATTCTCAGAGCATACATTCAACAAACAGTGCAAAAGTGTATATGCTAGCTAATGTAATGTTCATTTAGACCAGTATGTCATTTTTGAACAAAGGTAAATTGTAAATGGACTGTACTTACTGTATGTAGCACCTTTCTATCTTATCAAGATACTCAACGCTCTTTACAACACAATCTGTGTCCTCGTTTACCCATTCATACAGCACCCTACTAGATCTGTAAAGAGACTAATCAGAGCTTTATCACATCCATACACCGATGGGACACACATCAGAGGCAATGAGGGGTTCAGTGTCTTGCCCAGGGACACTTAAGCATGTGACTGCTAGTGGAGTCGAACCCCCAACACTCACAATGGAGGACGACTGCTCTAACCACTCAGCCACAGCTGCCCCTAAAAAACAAACAAAAAAAAGAGCACGAAAAAGAATCGTGCTAAATGCCTGAAACTTTTTTTTGGAAAAACTGGCCCTTGTTGACTAGCTAACTCCCTAGCCTGGACAAAAATGTTTGCTTCATGACTGATGTCACAGCTAATACGATATTAACTATTGAGCACTATTAGACAGTACATTACAGGTTCTTCAAAAACCACTATACTATCTTCTTAAGATGACAGCAGTCTGCTTTGATCTTGGCAGCATTCAGACTAGATTTTAACTTTTCAGTCATTTGAGAATTAAGAGCTATTTCTCCAAATTGAGGTGGTTCAAAGAGCTATTTACATCTTAGGTACAATATTTAAGATGTAAATTTTATAAACCCTTATTCTATTCATGGTGGCACAGTTGGTAGAGCTGTTGCCTCTCAGCGAGCAGGTCACACCACTTAAAATCCATGTCAGGGGCCTTTCTGAGTGGAGTTTGCATGTTCTCTATGTGTGTGCGTGGGTTTTCTCCGGGTACTCCGGTTTCCTCCCACAGACCAAAAACATGCACGTTAGACTGATTGGTAACTCTAAATTGCCCCTAGGTGTGAGTGAGAGAGTGAATGGTTGTTTATCTTGTTTGTCTCTATGTCTCCCTGTGATGGACTGGAGACCTGTCCAGGTGTCCCCTGTCTCTTGCACAGTGACTGCTGGATATGGGCACCATTGATCCCCACAACCCGAAAAGGAAGATGCAGGTAAAAGATAATGGATGAGTGGATGGATGGATATTCTATTTTTAATGGAACATAGTAAAACTATTTAAAAAATAACTAAGAATTCATACCACAAGTTATACCATTTTTAAGTAGAAATAAAATAATTTTATATTTGATTGCAACAACACACCTAAATATGAGTACTACCAATGATACACCCCATTAGTACGCCTATTATACTATAATAATACGCCCATTAGTAAATTGTCAAGAGTATCGTAATCAAAATCCAAAGCATGAATTTCCTCACACAACAATCCTGAAAACAGTGTCTGGGAAGTAGATATATTATTGTGGTAAGATGAAAAGTTCAGTTGTACTGACAATGACTTACATGATGTAAATAATCAAACAGTTAAATTAAGGAGCATGCAAGAACATGCCACTATCATTTGCAATGTAAGGAACTTTCCTATTAATTGCTTCAAGTTTATCCAAATCATTTTATGATCAGAGTAGTAAACTTAAGAAGTACCACTCACGATTTATTTGGTGAAATTAGTCATAAAATAAAATGGAGTCATTGTCTTATTTTCTGTCTTAAATATTTGTCAATTCCCACTATTGTCAACTTACTGTGTACAACCTTACAGATGGATGTATAGGCACAATGTAGGAACAAGGGGTTGTACATTTCTATATTACCCAGATATCAACTTGGAGCATATAGAAAGGAGCCACCTGCTGGAGCATAGATATGGTTTTAACAAAGGGATCACCTGTGATCACCTTTGACCCATGACATGTCCAGCTACGCAGTTTGATATGCCTACATTACACAATTGCAGAGTTAGAGCACGATCATCTGTGACCTTGGCCTTTGACCATGTGACCTTTTTGACTATGAGATGTTTAGAATTTTGTAACTAATTACAAGTATGTTAGTTGACAACGAGTCAGTACAAGTGCTGGTTTTAAAAAGAGCATTTTAGAGAGGCTGAATCTCTCAGAAGTGAAGATGGTCAAAGGTTTGCTAGTCTGCAAAACACAATGTTTCTTTAACTGAAAATTAGGAAGACTTTAAATATCTTGCATTCTATATTTCATATTATCAAAATATTTAAAAAAAAATTGAAGAAATCTCTGCACACAAAGGACAAGGTTAAATTCAATATTGTATGTCCATGATCTTAGGGCCCTCAAGTGGCTTTTCACAATCCAAAAACGCCTTTGTCTTCTTTGGACCACAGTTCATTAAAATAAAGTGACTCAAAATGGAAAACTGTTCTGCGGTCAGACAAACCTAATTTTATTTTTTTATTTATATATTTTTGAAACATGTACACTGTACTCCAAACTAAAAAGGAGATGGATCACCTGGCCTTTAACCAGGTCATGCTTCACAAGCCTTTTCAATATTATTGGGTCCTTTGGCAACTTAAACACCTATAGGGTCACCATCAATGCAGAAAAATACATGAGTTTTAGACCAAAGTTCTCATTCAGCAAGTCACCCAGACAAACAGTTTGCACCATAGTGCTATGAAGACGTATGCCTAGAAATATGAACTCTGCTACAGTTGTTTTTATTGTGCATGCTTGCTCCTGCAGTACCACATTGCCTGCATGCTTCAGCTCAGCCCTTTAACCCTGTCCCCGCATACATCATTCAACATGTCTATTATGTTAACGAGTGGTTTCTTAGAACACTATTTATATTAGAACAAAAATTCTCCCCCTGGAACTGTGGCCACCAATGCAGATTGCCTCTTTGTATTTCATAACTCAATGGACTAATTCCACATGTCTCTAAACATTATAAACGTTCACATCATCAGCGGAGGCTGATTAATGGTCCTCTATTCTTACCACTGGACACTGGCCCCGCACAAAGCAGGCCAGGCTCAAATATCCTATCTAACCATTACATTTAGCTTTTAGCTACTATTTCATCATTATTGCTTTCTGGGTCGAGATGGAGCAGAGGTGGGGCAGCTGACTTGAGACCAGAAAGTCGCGATTCGACTCCACGCCATGCCCACATGTTGTGGTGTCCTTGCTTATTTCACTTTTTAGCTATGACTTTGCAAATTGAACTTTTATATTTGTTTAGTTAATTATTTATTGCTTTTATCTACTGTTTCATTAATCTTTGATTTTAGCAACTGTTCCGCTAACCTTTGCTTATACTGTAGCTAAAGTTTTGCTCATTTGAACTATTAGCTATGGTTTGGCTCATTTTACCTTATACGTATTGATTTGCTAATGTTAACTTTTAGCAAAAATGTAGATCATTGTTGTTTTTAGCTACAGTTTTGTTCATTTTAACTAAGTTATAATTCAGTTTATTTTAGAATTTACATATAGTTTTGCTTATTTT